GAATGCCTTAGAGATGATACAGCATAGGGGATAATAGTCATATGAAACAACATTAAAACTTAAAATCACAATGGTGGCATTTCCAATTAAAAGTGTGGGGAGGGAGTTAATCTATTTTGTTCTTTTCAGCGTTTTTCAAAAACTATCAGCTTTAATTTTTTTTTTAGCAAAAGATACCATTTTCATCTGAAAAAAAACATCATTTAGATCAGCTGCAGTTAGGAATACAGATACAGCAGGCAGAAAGTTTTAAATGAATAGTATAATTAATTCAAAATACATACTGTGTTTTGTTTCTGAAAACAATCTCAAAAATAAATATGCCCTTCTGAATTAATATATTGAAAAACTTTATACATTTATATAATAAGCATGTTTTGTTTCTGTGTTAAAAAAGGTTTCTAGAGCTTAGATAGCTTTGCAAGATGATGCAAGCATCCCTGCTAGGTGTGAGAAAAGAATCTACATGTTCTGCTTCACAGGTGTATGCTTTAGGATCTGAACTGCTGTGAAATCTTGGGCCTACTGAAGTCAGTAACAGGGCTACCAGATGTCTGAGTTTCCCCAAGCTCGTTCTTTCCTGCAAGAACTGTGTTAAATTCCCCTGCAACTAAACTGCTTTCGTACAACCTGCCTTTATTCTTACTTCTATTTCTGCCTGGATTTAGAAATGCTGTAAAAGCGGAACTTTGAATATGCAAGTGGTTATTTATGAATGAATTAATCTCTACATGGAATGATTCAAGGATGGAAAACTGATCTCTAAAGATATCAAAACATTATTTGAGAATCATGATGGAAATATCTCTTAAGCCTGTCACATAGGTGTAGAAACCTCATATATACCTCATATACAGATGGTACCTGGATAGCTCTGTTACTCATTTCCTTGAGCTGCTGCTATGGCTCTCAACAACCAGGAGTTAAAATATCAAATGCTTGCAATACTAATTTAATGGAAGCTTTACAATGTTTTGGTTTTATAAATGTAGTACAATTTGAGTGATATATTTTTCTAAACATAGAGAGGTAGTAAGATGCTCACGGAAAGGTAGACTCACGGTTAGGATAATGGTTCTGACAATAGTTTTAAGTGAAAAGCAGAAGTTTGCTACTACTGAGTTAACAGGCTAAGTTAACTAGGCTAGTGACTAGTTAACTAGGCTAGTGACTAAGTTAACAGGCTAGTGACTCCTGGTTATATCAGATTCAGTCAGATGCCTGGCACAGGTCACAGAAATACAATGGCAACAAAGGCGGCAATAATATAATGGCTACTTATGGTTTATGATGTGTACAATTTTTAAATACCTAAAAAAATTACCTTTGTAAATATTCAGAGATAATACATTGCCATTTGTGTATTTATGAATTTATAAAAGGTCTGAGATAAAGCATGAAAATTATCCCTTGTTGATGTCAATGAGATTTTTGTCAAGGTTTTCAATCAAATCAGTCTGGACGCACTGGCTCTGTGGAGAAAAATGCCCAGCTAAGTTTTGAACATATGTTTAAAACTAGACTGTATTATGGGACAGTTGCTTCTCAAGATACTTAAGAATTATTTACAAGGTAAATTACATACTTCTCTGAAGTTTATAGAAAGATTCCAGTTGACTTCACATTTCTTTGGAGTGGCCTGTCAAAGAGATTTGTAGAGGTGTGCACTGAACAAGCTATTCTATGCTCAGAAAGTTTTGGATATTGAACCTCTCTTGCTGAGAAATAGTTTTGACCAAGTACAGAAAGATATACATTTAATTCATTTTTGGTTTCTCATTAATATGTTAAAAATGCAATTATCTCCCAAATGTGAAGTGTTGACTTTCTGGTCCAGCAGAAAGATAATATCAGCAAAATAATACTGACAGCTTTCTTGTCTTATTCAACATAGCATACGTTGAGTTTTTAGCAATAAAAACTGTGTCTGGACTGTTTGGTTCTCTGTATTCACAGGACAGGGCGTTAGATATTAAGTTAAATTATATATAACATTTTTAATAATTTCAATTATTTTTTTTATGTTTTTAAATGTTGCTTTTGTCTTACTTATGGCTCTGAAATAATGAAATATAAAGTACTGCTTTGTATGTGTGAGCTGGAAATCAATTAATGAAACATTTTTTCAGGTTTCTGGACCTTAACACATCTAAGGACAGCATGTCTGACAACCAGCAGAATAAGAGGAGAAGCAAAGAAGGTAGTCTAACCAAAGGTTATATGTATAAAGAGTAACATGTGGGATCTGAAGGAGAAAAAGGACAATGTTAACTTGAAATCTGGCTACTGTTCAAAACCAAGCAACCACAAAAAAATTTGGAATCAAACTCAAGTTGTTTCCCACTTTTGAAAAGCCTTGAGATTTGTTTTCAGTTTAACAGCTTTCCTATTTTTAAATGCTCTACTTTCGTAGAGTTTCTGTCAATATTTTTCTTATATTTCTGTTCTACTGAAATAGGAGATAAAACTGGAATTTTTTAAGATGTTCTTTGCTTTTATAGTACATTTAATTAATACACTTACCTAAATAACTAATTTGGATTTATGCATCCACATTTCCAAAAATTATAACAGGGAGTATGTATAGGTATCTTAGTGAAATGAGACATGCTCTTTTTTTTTTTCCTGATAGTTACTCCCTGTATTTCTTTATAATAATATTTTAACGTCCACAAATAACTGCATTTGCATTGTGTTACTGGTCAGTGAATTATACTGCTTGTATACAAATACTAACATATTGTTGCAGGTTGTGGAAGTGTTGTTGCTCTTCAGAATGCAGATAAGATAATGAAAGAAATGCATCAGTCATACAAAGCTCTAGGAGCAAACAGGTAAGTAGTATTAATATTTAATTTGCAATTGAGTATGCAAAAATGGAGACAAAGCAGGTAGTAGTCTATGAGTAAGAAAAGATTTCCTTAGTGACAGATGTTATATACAGCTATACGTGTTGTGTAGCCTTTCTCTCTTCCCAACACCAATTACTGGCCGTTGCTGGAGGCAGAAGATTGCACTAGATGAACAAATTATTTGGTACAATATGAAAAAACATATGGTATATGGTTTTACATCAGCATTTGACTTAATTAAAAACAGACAACTATCTTTCATACAGCTTTAAAATTAATTTAGACTATATTTTTGTGCTTCTTTTCAGTCACAGAATCTATCTTTTTCCATAATTGTTTTTTTCATTCTTCAGAAACCAGGTGGCAGAAATCTGAGGCTTGTCTGCACAGCCTCTATTCTTTCAGGCAGTCCATAGCATATTTTATAAATAACAAAGGCACATCTGGTCTTCAGAATTCTTCTGACACCCTTTCCTGATGATTCATAAAAAATACATACTGGAAGCAACCATTTTTTGTCGAAAAGGGGAAGTTGAACAGTATGTTTTTCCATTACTATTGTTGTTTGGTTTACGTTGTTTGTCACTTGTTCTCACTTGTAGTCAATCTCTGACTTTGCATTTGGATGCTTCCAGGGAGAGCCACGACTTTCCCAGATGGGCCAAGAAATAAAACATGCTTTGGCATTCTTGCAGCTTACAGACTTCTTGTTCATATTGTCCTCCAGTCGTGATTATTTGAACTGATAGGCTCCTTCCACTTATTGTCACACTGCATGTTGGGTTTTTTGTTTTTGCCTTTTAGCCAAATAGCACCAACATCCAGACTGTGGTCAGATCAACAAGTAGCATGTTTTCCAAGTAAAAACCAGTTAGCCTTACAGATGAGACATCACACTTCTCTACCTTTCTTCCTGAAGAAACAGAACATAGAGCGTGGCTTTGACTTCAGCTTTCTGCTACAGGCCTCATGCCCAGAATCCAACATTTCAAAATCATGTGTGGATTTAGATGCTTTTCAGATAGTAAAAGCAAAAATACAGCAAAGTAAGTTCAATTTTAAAAGTCACAACTTTTAAATAAGGTTATATATTGCTTATCAAATTAGATGGCAAAGCCTTAGTTGTCCTTTTTTCTTTAAACTTTAAGTTGTCTTATGTCTGACTTCTTCATGTAAAGCAGACTTCAGCCATGTTGACCCTCTTCTTTAATTATATGTGTGTGTGTATTTGCAGAATGAAGGAGATGAGATAAAGAAAAGCAATGACTTCACCTTTCCTGTTACTCTCTATAATGAAACTAAGCCCACAAAATGCAAAGTGTAATTCTTTGTAGCTGGAGTGAGACCATGATGACACCTCTTTCACTTTTTTTTTCTCTTCTCCTTTTTTTTCTTAATTGTGTTATCACAGAGGCGTTACTGATGGGCTTGGCCTTGGCCAGCGGCGGGTCCATCCTTGACTGAATCAGACATGGGGGAAGCTTCTGGCAGCTTCTCACAGAAGCCAGTCCTATGCCTCCCCTGCCCCTACCAAAATCTTGCCACGCAAACCCAATACACATAGTCCTGCAACCACACATCAGACACATTCTTGGCCTCCAGAACCCTGTAGTTTAAAATTAATTTATAAATTAAAATTACAGTCTGTTTAAGAATATCAGATTAACATTTAATTTGTTTTTATTTTTAAGGGTTAAATATAATAATGCTAAAAACCAAGAACAAGAGATCTGAGGTAAGATGGTATTACATATAAAACTGAACACAGTCTGAAGTATTATATGCTTTCATTTAAATCTAGCAATACAGAAGTAGTGTAGCTAGTTCCCTCTGCTTAGTCTTCAGTTTTTTGAATTAACATGAAGTATTTTTACATATGTTTTATATATACATATATGTCAGCAAATCTTCAGATGTCTATCAACAATTTGTCAATAAGGTGTTACCTCAGGGATTTTGGGGGGTAAAGGGTTGGAAGTTCAAAAAGATATTAAACCTTCTAAAAGAGAGATATGTAAGTTAATTTAAAGTATGTGCATCCTAGATGTTAAACATCTTAGATGTCTAGTTTTGCCAAATTTAAAAAAACAAACAATTTTTTTCTTTTATTGAGTGGTAATTTAAAATTGACCTCAGTGTGATTTAACACAGCTTTATTTCATAGGCTGGGGTCTGATGATTCCTAGAGGCATATCATTCGGGATAAACTGAGCATTCGTATTAACGCCACGCAGACTAGACAAAGCCTTCAGAACTGTGAATTTCAAACCAGCACGCGTTGCTTTTCCTGGCACATTCAAACCTCAGTTTGCCCTTGGATTGGAAACAAAAATTTCCTGCAGATTGCAAACTGATGTTGAATATAGACATGCAAATGAGTACTCAGAGCACATGACTGTGTGATTATTTCTATTGCATTCATTTGCATAAAAATACACAGTATATTCAAGCTTATTTTTTCGCAATTTCCTATAAAGTAAAGAATAGAAATATTATTTTTAGCAAATTATTCTCACTGTTCATCTGAATAATCACAACAAAGTACTCAAATTCTCAGATCTTTACTCTTCCGAAGTACCTTTCAACTAATGGGAAGGAAAGGGAAGGAAGAAGGGAGGAACAATAAAATACATCCCACACACAAGAGACTTCTGTGTTAGCTGCCATATGAAAATGGCCTTTGGGTAGTTATGTTTAACTTCACTGGAAGTGAAGTGCAGACTGTGCTGTCTTCCAATGGACTCAAAACTCTGTGAGCTAAATCTGTGTCCCATGTAACATGGTGTATAGAATTTCGTAAGACTACACTAAACATATGGAAGAGCTATATGTTTATAGATTCTAGATTTATAATAATGTCTTTTAAAACCTATCAATAATTTATAAGAATTGTTTTCTCCATGGATAAAATAACATTCTGTTATTGTAGTCTGGCTTTTCCTTTTTGAAAATTGCTTACATGAGATCTAGTTCCACTGGGAGTACAATGAGTGGTGCCAGCACACTTTGGAGGGTTACGTACAAAGACTTTAAATATCAGCAGAGGAGTGGTACTCTGATTCAGTGAGAGCGCACAGCAAGAAAGAACTGTGGCACATGAAGCCACTGACCAGCCTCCTGTAGCAAACATGCTGTGTGGCATAAGACATAGTTAATAACTGACAAGATAATTTGTCTGTGTGGACAAAACTTACTATTTTTAAATAATGGAGGATGACTTGTGCCTTATAGCAAAGGATGCTGATTTCTGTACTATGAAATACTTATAAATAATTCTGGATGTGAAAAAATTCATGTATGGATATGAGAAAATTCATGTATTTTCTCAGAGGTTTGATATTACACTTCCTATTAGGTTAAATATATGAATATATAAAATAATAATCCTTTTCTGTTTTTTTCTTAGTCTGCTTGGTTCTTAGTGATTAGATTTTACCTGTATCTGTTGTGTAGCACATTATTAATGGTTTTTATGGAAATTACAGTTTCATTTGCCACCAGTGACATCTCAACCTGTAAGAACAATTCATCTTGCTCCTCTAGAGGATAATATTGTCAATGAAAACACCAACATCAGAAGTATTTTGAATATTATGAACTCTATTCCTCAGCCTATAAAACCAGCTACTAAATTTTGTCAGTATCAGTTAGACAATGTCTTAAAAAGGCACACTGAAAAGTCATTAGACCTGATTGTGGCTGCTATTTCTGATGAGTTCAGGCCAGTGAAAGACCTGTACTACTGCATGAGTATCTGTAAAGACCATAGCAACAAGAAAGAAGAAATTCGAAGCAATTTGAAATGGTGGGAAGCTGATGTAGCTACCAATACTGAAAAAAATGACCAGATGAAGTACCAATTTTCAGTGGCTTGTAAGAATGTAGATTTTATGACCCAAGCCAGTTTCTGTGGTAGTCATCCCTACCTGACCTCAAGTCAAGCTCTGATAAACCGTGGAATATTTGCAGCTCAGACAATATTTACAATGTCAAGCGACAGAGATGCCTCGAGAGCTGGCAATGAGGAAAGAGCAGAGAATTGCTGTAGAACTGGTCTAGAAGAAGGAAACACTACAGAGATTATACTGGATTGTAGACCATATAAAGATGCTGAGAGTGAGAACTTTGTGCTTGACAGTCATGATTTAGATTGTTCCTGTAAAAATGAAGTGATAGAAGCCTACCATGCCTTAGAAGATAATTCTATAGCTGCAGTAATTCCCAGAGTAGAAATGCAAGATCCTTCTGGAAAACAGACAGAAAATAATGTTTGTCTCTCTGAATTTGAAATGGAAAAAGAAGCAATGTCAGAAGCAACTTCAAAAGACCAAAGGGAGCTTGTACCTGTCATTCATGTGACATTCTCTGAACAAGAACCAGCTAGGGAACCACACATTGCTAAACAACCTGCCATAAAAACCAGTGTCATTTGTAGTCTGCCTCCTCATGTTACTCAGAGCTTCAACATTCTTGCTCGCGAAGAGAATGACAGAAGTAAAACAAAGGTGAACAGAAGTAAATATTCATCAAAATCTAAAATGAGTAGCAAGATAAAGATATCTGAAGACTTAGTTGTTTCTGATGAGATTTCCCCAAAATGTAATGCCAAGACTCAGATTTTTCCGTCATTGGAACTGCCACACGTGGAATCTGAGACTTCCCTGAAGCGTCAAAAAAAACCCCATCAAGCAAACAAAGACCATTTTGCTCAGAAACTTAAAAAGCAAAGTTTCTCCTGCATTTGCAAAAAATCAGTGATCTTGAAGAAACCTGTTACTCCAGTTTCTCTACCACATGCACAGGCTGCTTCAGATTTTGTAGATCTGAAATACAGTGACATGTTCAAGAAAATAAATTCAAATGACAAAGGCCCAGGTATTTATGAAATGTTTGGAACTCCTATCTATTCCCACATGCGTGAGCTTGATCAGCATGAGAACAGAATTCATAGAGATGTTTGCTCTGCTCCATCTGGGAGATGCACTGCCAGCACCTGCACATCTACCTGCAGTAAAGGGAGAGAGAGCAGCCGAGTAAGAAATACTCGGAAGAGAACATGTTCTAAGCCAAAGAAGAACATACCTGGCACTAAACAAAAGCAGAAAGGTTTAATTACGAAGGACAGAAGTACCAAGTTGAATGACAGCAACAAAGAGCAAGATCATGTCATAACCTCTGATTCAGATTTTCAGATAGACACACCAAGGAGCATGACATTGTTTCATGAAGATACAGACCATCAGCTTACGTTTTTAGAAAAGCTTTCACAATCAACTGAGCAAAATAATTTGTTTTCTAATTCAAACTTATCAACTATTAAAGAAGTTAGTTTGGAGCAGTCTTTAGACAGTCAGAATATATCTGACCATCAGAGAGCTGCTACCTGTAGCCAGAATCTTCTTCAGTTCAGTGATAAAGACTACAGAGAATGTGTTGCTCTAAGTAGCAGCCTACTAACAACAGCCCAGAACATTTGTGTACCCCAGTGCGGAGTGGACATGGATGGCTGCAAAGGCCTGGAATCAGACCAGGCCTCCTTCAAGTCTGTAAATAAATATGAAGCATTGCCCTTTTCAGATAGAGTGGAGTGTCAATCCCCTACAACAAAATTAGGTCACAGTTGGGCATACACACCTCAAAACAGTGGTTTGGCAAATGAATTGACTCAGCCTTCAGTGATTCAGATAAAAAGTATTACAAGCCCCAGTTTCCAGACAAGTGAAAACATTTTGTCCTGGTCAGATAATAAGGATGTGACTGATGAGTTGCTTTGCTGTCTGGCTGAAGAATTGCTAATGCTTGAAGAAAAAAACATCAGCTCTTCAAGAACAAAAAATACGGATTCTAAAATGCAAAATACGCATACTAGGGAAGAAGAAAATATGATGAATGGAGAAGGAGCAATAGTAAAGAGTGCTCTAGAGAAGGTAAAAGTAATTTCTTGTAACTTGCTAGCTCCTTTGAATGATGCTTCAACACAAGTTTGGATGAAAGACAGGAAATAATTGCTCATTAATGATCAAGTCTCTTTTCCTTGGGCCAGCTGCCCACTGATTCTTGCAGTGCTCAGTTGAGGATACCCATGTTAGGGGCTGCATGTCAGGACACAAGCCAGATGGTACTAAGGCATGAGAGGAATAGCTATCAAGGCTTATGTGATGGGTCAAGATAAACTGAGAAATTGTAGTGAATACAAAGGAGAGGCTATTTTAACTGAAGAGCATGTATAAAAAGGTGCCGGGGCAAGGCAAAAGCTCCTGAGATCTTGACACCTAAGGAATATTAAAAGACACTACAAATGGTTCTTGTATATCCAAAAGGGAAATTTCCTTGAATCTCTCAGTACAACCAGATACTTTTCTAGGTCTGAACTACAAGTATTTGCTTATCAGACAGCAGACTTAAGGCTGTTTAATTAATGTTTAATCAAAACTTCAAGCTCAGAAGGGTTATATTCTGGCCCCCAAGTCAGTTAAGAACCTTTACCTGCTAAGGTGCTTAGCTACCAGTACTGCTTCTCCTTGGCACTATTAGCTTTATTTTCTATTCAAATTACAAATGTATAAGGAAATCTCTTTCACTGCATATTGATACACTTCCTTATGCTTCTGCTGATACAGGTGCCAGTTGTGCCTCCATTCTCACTTCTCCTAGGGAGATACATGGCTAGGTGGAGTAATTATTACCATCTTTGTGAAGCAGTCTCTTCTTCCTGTGAAGTCATGTCCAAATTGTTTTCACCAGACTCGGGTTACATATGTTACCTAGAGCAAGGGGATAGTCATATTCACCCTTCAGCTTAGCAAACTGTACTTATGTGACAAAAAAAGAGTAGTAAGCAGATGTATGTCCTGCTCTTTTAACTGTTCCTTCTGTCTGTCTTCCTGCCAATGGAAAAAGATGTCCTGCTATAATCTTCTGCTTATACACTATTGTGATACATACTTGAAAATATTTACATAATCTTATTTAGTATAGCAATTGTATCATTGCTATCATTGGAGCACCTCTCCTATGAGGACAGGCTGAAAGAGTTGGGGCTGTTCAGCCTGGAAAAGAGAAGGCTCCAGGGAGATCTTCTAGCAGCCTCCCAGTCCCTGAAGAGGGCCTACAAGGAAGCTGGGGAAGGACTTTTCATAAGGGCAACTAATGACAAAACAAGGGGAAATGGGTTTAAACTGAAAGAGGGGAGGTTTAGATGAGATATTAGGAAGAAGTTCTTCACTGTGAGGGTGGTCAGACACTGGAACAGGTTACCCAGAGAAGCTGTGGATGCCCCCTCCCTGGAAGTGTTTAAGGCCAGGCTGGATGAGGCTTTGAGCAACCTGATCTAGTGGAAGGTGTCCCTGCTGATGGCAGGGGGGTTGGAACTGGATGATCTTTAAGGTCCCTTCCAACCCAAACCATTCTATGATTCTATGATCAATGAGCTGAGCAGTTAGTGTATATATATATAGATAGATACATATATAAATTTATAGAGAAGAGTAATGCCAGCTAAAAATTACTGCTTATAAAAAATTTAAGGTTAATATGAAGCCTTTCTTTTCCTCCCTGCTTTCTCCCCACACTGACCATCATCTTTCAAGCAGAGTTCCAGTAAAGCCTTTTCAGCATCAAATGAAGAAAATGGCCTGCTAAACTTTGAGGGATCTACTAAATCACCAGGAATTGGTTTAAGTAACAAAGATCCTATCGTGTGGACAAGAGGTGAAGTCCTTGGAAAGGGAGCCTATGGCACAGTAAGTTAATGTCTGAATATGTTAAGAGATGTGCTGGTTGTCATTGAGCTACATCTGACCTTATAATTGGCTGTTGTCCTATTCAACAAATAACTTAAGTATGTTGGATTATACAGTGAGACATGAAACATGACAAACACAAAGCTACTATTTAAAATGAGTAAATACTCACTTTTATTTCATGTTTCACTTTAATAAATGCTAGTTTCATTGTAGGTATACTGCGGTCTGACAAGCCAGGGGCAATTAGTAGCTGTAAAACAGATTGTTTTGGATACGTCGGATCAGCTCGCTACAGAAAAGGAGTATCAGAAGTTTCATGAGGAAGTTGATCTTTTGAAGACATTGAAGCACGTCAATATTGTCACTTATTTAGGAACTTGTCTGGAAGACAACATTTTAAGTATTTTCATGGAGTTTGTTCCTGGTGGCTCAATTTCTAGTATTATTAATCGTTTTGGTCCATTGCCAGAAATCATCCTTTGTAAATATACAAAACAAATTCTACAGGGGGTCGCGTATTTACATGACAATTGCGTGGTGCATAGAGACATCAAAGGCAATAACGTTATGCTCATGCCAAATGGTACAGTAAAGCTAATTGACTTTGGCTGCGCCAGGCGTTTAGCTTGGGCAAGCCTCAGCGGCACACAGAGCGAAATGCTCAGGTCTGTGCGTGGGACTCCATACTGGATGGCACCAGAAGTTATAAACGAGTCTGGATATGGAAGAAAATCAGACATCTGGAGCGTTGGCTGCACCGTGTTTGAGATGGCAACAGGAAAACCGCCACTGGCTTCCATGAATAGGGTAGCAGCCATGTTCTATATTGGGGCCCACAGGGGACTGATGCCTTCCCTACCCGATCAGTTCTCCGGCACTGCAGTGGATTTTGTGCATGCATGCTTAACCAGGTATGTAGATTTTTAACTGAAAAATGAAAGGAAAAATGCAGATAGTTTGTATCATTGAGGTTGTTGATGGGACCTTAAGTTATACATGGTACACATGACTGTACTGTAACTGCATAGGTTTTCCAATATTTCGGGAAAGCCTTTAAATAACAGTAGACATAAAAGAGCTTTACTGTCTATAATGGTATAAAAAACCCCCTCACAAATTCTCTTTTTATAGGTCTTATGCTCATCATTTACTTTCCCTGTAATTTTCATGCAGAAACATGGCACCATTGAGTACTAGGCAAAATATTTGATAAATTTCTTAGATGTGCCTTGCTGTTCCAATATCACATTGGCTGAACCTGGCCTATGTCAGGCAAGTTGTTTTGAGGAAAATATTCTAAATGAAAGAAATTTCACTTCATTCTTCCGCAGTAGAAAAATCTATTTAGTGAGTGTGGCAGTGATTTTGGAGGCAGGAAATCTGATTTCTAATCCCTGGATTAGAATTATTATGGTATGGTTATGGTTTCTGGAGCCCATATATCAATAACTAGAAAAACTGTGGACTGTATATAGCAACATTATGTATACTTTGATTCAGAGAGAACAGTGTTTGAAAGGTAGAAGAAGTAGAAGGAAACATACAGTTATAAAGCATTTACCTTTTCAAATAAAGTATTTGATGCACCTGTGGTGGCAAGGTAGAGGGGAAACATACAGGTATAAATCATTTACCTTTTCAAATAAAGTATTTACTTTTTCAAAAGTTAGGAGGCACCTGTGGTGGCAAAGTTTTAATGTATGATGTCACCATGTCCTAAATATAAATGCCTCCTTTATCCCATCATCTTTCCCATTAGTTTATTAGTTTATTATTCTAAAAATCCATGTACTTTACTCCTTCCTCTGTTTTTGTCTCCAGATTGAGAGTTGAAAAACCCCAAAGCCCTTGGCTCACACATGCCAATATTGTAATTACAGTACTGTAATTCCATATGGGCTCCTTAACATGCATGACATTGATTGGAGATGACAGATCAGCCTCATGGACACAGATCAAACGAGTAATTGTCACCCTCCTTAAATACATTTTTGGTGAACCTGAAAGCCACATCAGCAGAATTATTCAAAGTTTTGCAAGGAATTTAAAGGAACAAAGAATGATTTCTGTACTAATAAAATATTTCAGTTTTATAATTCATAAACTCCAACAGTCTCTTCGCATAAATCCTGCCTTCCTTTCTACCAGCTTTATAAAAAAAAAAAAATCTGAAAATTAGTAACGACTAGAGAAATGAGAAAAGAGGCTAGGCTTGCATTTAGATTTTACAATTACATCACAGGCATGCATATTCATTTTATGTACTGATTTTTCAAACCCTCAATGCAGAGATCAACATGAACGCCCTTCTGCTCTGCAGTTGCTGGACCATCCCTTTGTGAAAGAAGACAGTGAATTTTTCAAAACTCTTGCCAAATGAGTATATATTTTCTGTATTTAAAAAATCTCCACTTGTGAAAAAAGATCAGAAGGAACTGGACTTAAAAGTGACAGCAGAAATTACCAGAGAGCAATTGTGTACAAGGAGTCTATTATTAGACAGCAGGAAGATCAAAGGAGCATCTTCTGCAGTGTCTGTGCTCACTGGAGTGAGCGTTCCTTCACTGTGAACACAGGGCCACGTTTTTGTTGTATTTGGAGAGACTTTTAGAGAAAAAAACAAACAAACCCGCACATCACCATCACCATCACTGGTATGTGACAGGCAAGGTAAGTTGGAACACCAATTTGTCTGCAAAAACCTATGGAACATATGCTATGGGTAGTAAGCCTTGCAGATGCTGAAAGCTCTGTGAAAGCTCTGCAGAGAGCTCTACTCAAACTCATAGATGTGCCTGTGATGATGTGAAGTGTGTATGTGATCCCTTGGGAACCCCAAACCATGTAACTGCATTGGCATAAAACATACTGAAGCTTTTATGTAGCTCGATGGACCCTTTATAGTTTGTAGCTGGTGAAAAAACCTCCTAGTTTTTGCATAGATCCATCAGTCCTTGGTTACCAAGGTGCCGTATCACTACAAGATGCCGCAGTGATAATGGTGAGATACCCAGGTGTACATGTGCACCTTTATTAAACTTACAGCAAGATAATTTCCTAGTCTGGCTAGAACTATGGAACAGACCTTTGTGACTGCCTTTTCTCAGTGAAGCAGTGCATTTTATGGACAGTTTCAGGTCACAGAATGGTTGGGGCTGGAAGGTGCCTCTGGAGATGCTCTAGTCTAATCCCACTGCTCAGGTCAGGGTTGATGGCAGCAGGTTGCTCAGGCCCTTGTCCCATTGGCTTTGAGTATCACCAAGGATGGAGACTCCACAGCCTCTCTAGGCAACATGATCCAGTCTTCAGCCACCCTCCAACTAAAAATGCTTTTATGTTTGGACAGACTGCTGTGTATGTCCGAGTTGGTGCCTCTTGCCCTGTCACTGGTAACACTGAGGACTCTGGCTTTGTTTTCCTTAGGGCCCCCGTCAGGTATTGATCCCCATGGGTACAGTTCCTCCAGAACCTACTCTTTCACCATCCAGTGGCCTGTTTTCTGTGTTCAGGGTGATGTTTTCTAATTCTCACCCTTCTGTTTGCTGATACAGAGCAGCAAAAGCATAGCAGCGCTACCTTTCTCTTGTTTGCAAAGACTGTAAAGTGCTGTTTGAATCACTAGATGGTCTACTGCTATTTTTCAATATCCTTAATCTGAAATAGAACAGCAAATTTGATTCTGAAACTTGAACTGTTTGGAGAAACACTTGAGTGAGTACTATGTAATTAGATGACATGTAACATTCTCCATCTGCACTGCGAAAATAATTGTTACAGTTAGTATAGCCAGCTACCACTAACTGCACAAAATTACATAGAATTTAATATATTTAATATATTTTAAATATTAATAAAACAACAAAACCCCCCAGGTATTAGTAGTTAGATTGTACTCTTTATGATTAGGCTTCTTCCTGAGTATTTTTCAAATTTAAAATTTCAGTGGAATGAGATCCTGTAGATACCAAAAAATGGTTTAACAGCATCCAAATGCAGTGAACCTTGTGCCTTTGTGAGCACCGAGGCTCTGGGAAGAGCTGCAGCAAAACTCAGCCCTACAATCATTAAGGGCTGAGCTCTCAAGAATTCAAGACCCTGACTTCAGTGCCAGCAGTGACATGAAAATTAGTGTTTTACAAAAAGGAAAGAAAGAATTTCAGTTTTATATAAAATCAACTTTGCCCAGAGTGCTACACATTTGAGTTACTTAAATAGCTTTCAAACTTTATCTTATTCCAATAGCCTGGCTTCAGAGAGTTGGTCTAAACTTCAGAAAAGCAAAGAGAAAGCAGTACTTGTAGCAAAATTCTTTATTAATAGTTTCTGTAAGTATAATGTCACATAACAATGACAGAACATTATGCCAGTATAAGAGAAATCCTAACATCACAGTAATCTTAAAAGTTCAAACAGCTAACAGTCCCATTTTGAGTAACACCAGTTGGTCCTCATGCCAAAAATCCACGACAGCTTCATGTTAAAGTATCTTCACGCGAGTATCATCACGTTAAAGTACCTTGCAGAAGGAAGGTAGGAGCCCTGGCATAGGAACTCAAGTGGGATGTACACAATTCCATGGTGTGTATTAGTTCTTCTCAGATTAAGGGAGTGTCTCCAACAAAGCTGCAAAGTAAATATGAGGTTTTATTTAGTATGAAGTTAAACTGAGATGATGGTCAGAAGCAGGGGAAGATGGGAATGCTCTAGGATACAAAGTTAATTAAAAAATGTCAGAATTAAAAAAAAAAAAAAAATCCTCCTTATGCAAGTCTTATAAGGAAAGAGAACATCTTTTGGTAAAGTCTGAGTTCTCCAGTATTATTAGTTATTGCAATTTAAATGTGATGTTTAATCCAACTAATTATACTAACATTACCCTCCAACTTAAAGGTTTATAAAACTTTAACCTGAGTTTTTAATCAAAATGTGAAAGCACATTTTTGCTTTTGTTTAAGAGAATGGGGCGGTCGCTTAAGGCCGGCACTTGCAAGGAAGGTGTTTCATCTTAATCACACCAGAGCACAGGGGAGGTGCGACTGCATCCCAGCCCTGCGCTCAGCACAGCTCAACCACGTGGCCTGTGGATTTAGGGTGCCTTGGGTGGCTCAGCTGAGTCCAGCCTAGTGGAACATTCTATAAACAAATCTGACATTGCAGCTTCCTTACTTGATCAGAAAATAGCTTTTCACATCAAAATCCAGATAATTCGGATACCTGTATCAAGGTATCTAATATAATAAAGGGAAAGGGGGAGAAATCTTCAACTTTCTTGAAAACCTTTGCTTTCAATGAAAAGTGAGGAGGGTCACACTTGCTTAATTATTTATAGTATTTGAGCAGGAGAAACCTTACTGTTTTAAAAAGGGTACAGCCTTCATTTCGAAAGGCAGTGAAGAACCCGTTACAGACTACGCAGGCTGCCAAGTAGTAGGTTTGACCACTTTGCTGTGATGCCAAATTTCCTCAAGATTGGGAGCTTAATTCGAGAACCTGAAAATACATTGTTCTTTTATCATTGTAGGGGATACCTGGTCTTTTGTTTTTGTGTTAATATTGAACGCTCTAAGCTATTGCTCAGGAAAAGGGAGGGTTCTCAGGCACGCCAATCCAGCTATTCTACACTGGTCCTGACACCAAACACAGCAAGATGATGTAAAAACTGTCATCTCAAAATACACGCAGCAAACTTTCTTCTCAAGGAAGCTGACATTGAGCCCAGAAAACCCACAGTTTTTTAAGAGTATTTGGGTTCAAAATTTGTGCTTTTTCACAAAGTTCAGCAGCAACTGATGGCATTTTCTACAACCCTAAACTCTTGCACATACAGAAGAAAGAACAAGAGTACTCCTGAGGAAGGGCTTGCTGTCCACACAGCAGAGTGCTTTTTCTCCACTGCTTTCCACTTCCCACAGGGACCCGCACCGTGAGACACCTTTGGAAAGTGAATTTTACAGGTGTGGTCACAGAACACAATCTCTGAACTATGATAAGAAAAATGATGTAATTATAAATACAGGAAGATAGAGGAATCAAACCCAAGTACTGAAACTTTTAAGGGTAAAATTGGATTTGGGTTTGCTATATCCACCTCCGGAGAAGCCAGAGAAACAGTAATTCCCAGCAGCAATGTGACAGAACACACCTGGCATTAATTATATATATATATTATTTTTTAAAAGGTGTGAGGAGTTAAGCATTTCAGAGAAAGGAGGAATTAATTAGCTCGTTCAGTTTGGCATGACTTCCAAGTCTTTTAAGACATTTATTTTTAGAACTCATTATGGGAATGCGCATTTACATCCCAATTAAAGAAAGCAAACAAAGTGTTTGCTCAGTCCTCTTCACTGCAAAACAAGGACTGGTATGTTCATCATCCACCCCCTCACCCCTTCCCCCCCCACTCCCCACTGCTAAAATATAATAAAAATATATATTAAAAAAAAAATCAAGCATGGTCAGCCACTATATAACAGAATTACAGGGTACAGGCTCTCAACCCCAGGGTAGAGAAAGGGAGCACCTTAAGGTGGCACAAAATTTCTTTAATTTGCTTTTCAGGTATCAAATACCTGATCACCATGACGTAAAGAAAGAAAAGGAAACAAATTAGACTTCAGATTTTCAAGCATTCCACTATTTGATTGATTTGATGAAAACCAGCAATGTTTGAGGATCTTCTTCGTGTTTACAAATGTAGTTGGAAAAGTAAACATAGGAAAATGGGATAATTTCTGCACAGTAGAGGTGAGGTAGGGAATTTTATTGAAAATATTTTTTTTACAAGTTCTTAGAAATAGTTGTTTTTTTTTCTAATCTCACACAAATGGCTGTACCTCAAAAATTCAACTATGCTACTATGAAATGTTTATATTTACAGTTAGCCAAAAGAATGTACAGAACTGCCATTTTATGCAAATACCAGATCACAGTGAGATACATGACTTCAGCACTCCCACCATTAGGAACAGATTCGGATTCAACATACGAAAGAATCTCACTATTCTACAAACCTCATATCTCACAAAAAGGGAAGCTTTTTAATAGTGTTGTAGCAAGGTCTCCACTACAGTGTCCTTTTACAAATTACATAATGCAGGTACTCAAATTCATAACAAAAATCATCCATAACCAAAGTGATGAACAGAGTAATAGTGTTGCCTATCAGCCGTTTATTGCATTTATTCATTCATTCACTTCGGAGGCTGATGCCAATCCTATTTATTTATTTTCATTCATTTCCAACACCTCAGCCAGGCTGCAATTCACACAGTTCACTGATCTGCAATTGATTTCAGTCAGGGAAAACTAGTGGCATCTTGTTGCAAATCCTCTCCCTCCCTCTCAGCCCCTACTATCACCACACTGAGTTTAGTTGCAGAC